TCTGTGTACTCCTCACCTTTGCAAACACCATACAGTTTTGAAGCCTTCAGTTCCAAAAACATTTATCTTGGTCTCATCACTCCAGAGTACAGAGCCCCAGTAGTCTTCTTCTTTTTCAGCATGGGCCCTGGCAAAATCTAGGTAGGTTTTTTAGTGCATGGCCCTTAGCAGGATCTTCCATCGTGGAAGGCCACCCATGCATGCCATTACTTTGCAGTGTACACCGTATTGTGTCCCTTCAACCCTTCTTATCAGAAGACACTCCTGACGAGGTGTTAACTTCCATGGATGGCCTGGATGCCTCTGTGAGATGATTGCAGTTCCATCTTTGTTAATTTTGGTATCACTTTTTGCTACGGTATTTCTGACTGATAAGTAAAGCTTTGCTGATCTTCTTGTAGCATTCACCTTTCCTGTGTAAAGAAATGATTTTCTTTCTCAGGCCTTGTGACATTTTTCTTCCATGTGGTACCATTGCTGACAGCATGATATGGGAAGGGGTTTTCTTTGTTAAGTAACACCCTTTTATAATCAACTGTCTGCTGGACACATGTTTAATGAATAATTAGACTCACCTGTAATTGAATTCTTGTTACTTAGGAATTTGTTGTCTAAAATTTAGCTTTGCTCCTAAGACTTTCATTGGGGTGTATTCATTTTTGCAACATGGTCTTGAATGAATTTGTTAGGAAAAATACTTTTTTTTGTGTGCAAATTAACAAATCTTGCTTGCAATCAATGGCCTGCGTTTGTAGGAGTATTTTGTAGTGTAGTGTCTAGAGAGATGAGCGAAGTATTCAAAAATTCGATTCGACTGATTCGGCGAATTCGTGAAAAAATTTTGATTCGAGTCGAATATATTCGCTGCGAATTTAACTTATAAAAGGGTGTTTCTAGGCTTCAGAGAGCATTTATATTTAATTTAAATGCCCTTGGAGTCTGCTGGGGAAGAGAAATAATACTGTCAGTCAGTATATGACATGCAGATGAGTGCCGTCGATCTTAGAATCACCGCACACTTCACTCATTTGGGCAGTCACGGGGCCAAAACCAGAGTTTGGAGCCACAGTGTGGCGGTGGAGGCAGCAGCAATGGGAGGCCATACAGAACCCTATGACAAAATGGAAACCAGCAGGAGTGTGAGGAGACCTGAAAGTGGCACATGGCAGAGTGTGGCGATGGAGACAGCAGCAATGGGAGGCGGTACAGGGACCCATGACACACTGTGGACCTAGCAGCAGCTTGACGAGGCGGTACGGGGGCCCATGGCAGATTTGGGGCCTGGCAGCACCTATGGGAGGCCTGTAATCTGCCAGCAACCTATGACAAAATGGAAACCAGCAGGAGTGTGAGGAGACCTCAAAGTGGCACATGGCAGAGTGTGGCGATGGAGACAGCAGCAATGGGAGGCCGTACAGGGACCCATGACACATTGTGGACCCAGCAGCAGCGTGACGACGAGGCGGTACGGGGGCCCATGGCAGATTTGGGGCCTGGCAGCAGCACCTATGGGAGGCCTGTAATCTGCCAGCAACCTATGACAAAAAATGGAAACCAGCAGGAGTGTGTGAGGAGACCTGAAAGTGGCACATGGCAGAGTGTGGCGATGGAGACAGCAGCAATGGGAGGCCGTACAGGGACCCATGACACACTGTGGACCCAGCAGCAGCGTGACGAGGCGGTACGGGGGCCCATGGCAGATTTGGGGCCTGGCAGCACCTATGGGAGGCCTGTAATCTGCCAGCAACCTATGACAAAATGGAAACCAGCAGGAGTGTGAGGAGACCTGAAAGTGGCACATGGCAGAGTGTGGCGATGGAGACAGCAGCAATGGGAGGCCGTACAGGGACCCATGACACACTGTGGACCCAGCAGCAGCGTGACGAGGCAGTACGGGGGCCCATGGCAGATTTGGGGCCTGGCAGAACCTATGGGAGGCCTGTAATCTGCCAGCAACCTATGACAAAATGGAAACCAGCAGGAGTGTGAGGAGACATGAAAGTGGCACATGGCAGAGTGTGGCGATGGGAGACAGCAATGGGGGAGGCCGTACAGGTACAGGGACCCATGACACACTGTGGACCCAGCAGCAGCGTGACGAGGCGGTACGGGGGCCCATGGCAGATTTGGGGCCTGGCAGCACCTATGGGAGGCCTGTAATCTGCCAGCAACCTATGACAAAATGGAAACCAGCAGGAGTGTGAGGAGACCTGAAAGTGGTACATGGCAGAGTGTGGCGATGGAGACAGCAGCAATGGGAGGCCGTACAGGGACCCATGACACACTGTGGACCCAGCAGCAGCAGCATGACGAGGCGGTACGGGGGCCCATGGCAGATTTGGGGCCTGGCAGCACCTATGGGAAGCCTGTAATCTGCCAGCAACCTATGACAAAATGGAAACCAGCAGGAGTGTGAGGAGACCTGAAAGTGGCACATGGCAGAGTGTGGCGATGGAGACAGCAGCAATGGGAGGCCGTACAGGGACCCATGACACACTGTGGACCCAGCAGCAGCGTGACGAGGGCGGTACGGGGGCCCATGGCAGATTTGGGGCCTGGCAGCACCTATGGGAGGCCTGTAATCTGCCAGCAACCTATGACAAAATGGAAACCAGCAGGAGTGTGAGGAGACCTGAAAGTGGCACATGGCAGTGTGGAGTGTGGCGATGGAGACAGCAGCAATGGGAGGCGGTACAGGGACCCATGACACACTGTGGACCCAGCAGCAGCAGCGTGACGAGGCGGTACGGGTGCCCATGGCAGATTTGGGGCCTGGCAGCACCTATGGGAGGCCTGTAATCTGCCAGCAACCTATGACAAAATGGAAACCAGCAGGAGTGTGAGGAGACCTGAAAGTGGCACATGGCAGAGTGTGGCGATGGAGACAGCAGCAATGGGAGGCCGTACAGGGACCCATGACACACTGTGGACCCAGCAGCAGCAGCGTGACGAGGCGAGGTACGGGGGCCCATGGCAGATTTGGGGCCTGGCAGCACCTATGGGAGGCCTGTAATCTGCCAGCAACCTATGACAAAATGGAAACCAGCAGGAGTGTGAGGAGACCTGAAAGTGGCACATGGCAGAGTGTGGCGATGGAGACAGCAGCAATGGGAGGCCGTACAGGGACCCATGACACACTGTGGACCCAGCAGCAGCGTGACGAGGCGGTACGGGGGCCCATGGCAGATTTGGGGCCTGGCAGCACCTATGGGAGGCCTGTAATCTGCCAGCAACCTATGACAAAATGGAAACCAGCAGGAGTGTGAGGAGACCTGAAAGTGGCACATGGCAGAGTGTGGCGATGGAGACAGCAGCAATGGGAGGCCGTACAGGGACCCATGACACACTGTGGACCCCCAGCAGCAGCGTGACGAGGCGGTACGGGGGCCCATGGCAGATTTGGGGCCTGGCAGCACCTATGGGAGGCCTGTAATCTGCCAGCAACCTATGACAAAAATGAAACCAGCAGGAGTGTGAGGAGACCTGAAAGTGGCACATGGCAGAGTGTGGCGATGGAGACAGCAGCAATGGGAGGCCGTACAGGGACCCATGACACACTGGTGGACCCAGCAGCAGCAGCGTGACGAGGCGGTACGGGGGCCCATGGCAGATTTGGGGCCTGGCAGCACCTATGGGAGGCCTGTAATCTGCCAGCAACCTATGACAAAATGGAAACCAGCAGGAGTGTGAGGAGACCTGAAAGTGGCACATGGCAGAGTGTGGCGATGGAGACAGCAGCAATGGGAGGCCGTACAGGGACCCATGACACACTGTGGACCCAGCAGCAGCGTGACGAGGCGGTACGGGGGCCCATGGCAGATTTGGGGCCTGGCAGCACCTATGGGAGGCCTGTAATCTGCCAGCAGCAACCTATGACAAAATGGAAACCAGCAGGAGTGTGAGGAGACCTGAAAGTGGCACATGGCAGAGTGTGTGGCGATGGAGCAGACAATGGGCAGCAATGGGAGGCCGTACAGGGACCCATGACACACTGGGACCCAGCAGCAGCGTGACGAGGCGGTACGGGGGCCCATGGCAGATTTGGGGCCTGGCAGCACCTATGGGAGGCCTGTAATCTGCCAGCAACCTATGACAAAATGGAAAACCAGCAGGAGTGTGAGGAGACCTGAAAGTGGCACATGGCAGAGTGTGGCGATGGAGACAGCAGCAATGGGAGGCCGTACAGGGACCCATGACACACTGTGGACCCAGCAGCAGCGTGACGAGGCGGTACGGGGGCCCATGGCAGATTTGGGGCCTGGCAGCACCTATGGGAGGCCTGTAATCTGCCAGCAACCTATGACAAAATGGAAACCAGCAGGAGTGTGAGGAGACCTGAAAGTGGCACATGGCAGAGTGTGGCGATGGAGACAGCAGCAATGGGAGGCCGTACAGGGACCCATGACACACTGTGGACCCCAGCAGCAGCATGACGAGGCGGTACGGGGGGGGCCCATGGCAGATTTGGGGCCTGGCAGCACCTATGGGAGGCCTGTAATCTGCCAGCAACCTATGACAAAATGGAAACCAGCAGCAGAGAGTGTGAGGAGACCTGAAAGTGGCACATGGCAGAGTGTGGCGATGGAGACAGCAGCAATGGGGAGGCCGTACAGGGACCCATGACACACTGTGGACCCAGCAGCAGCGTGACGAGGCGGTACGGGGGCCCATGGCAGATTTGGGGCCTGGCAGCACCTATGGGAGGCCTGTAATCTGCCAGCAACCTATGACAAAATGGAAACCAGCAGGAGTGTGAGGAGACCTGAAAGTGGCACATGGCAGAGTGTGGCGATGGAGACAGCAGCAATGGGAGGCGGTACAGGGACCATGACACACTGTGGACCCAGCAGCAGCGTGACGAGGCGGTACGGGGGCCCATGGCATTTGGGGCCTGGCAGCACCTATGGGAGGCCTGTAATCTGCCAGCAACCTATGACAAAATGGAAACCAGCAGGAGTGTGAGGAGACCTGAAAGTGGCACATGGCAGAGTGGGCGATGGAGACAGCAGCAATGGGAGGCCGTACAGGGACCCATGACACACTGTGGACCCAGCAGCAGCGTGACGAGGCGGTACGGGGGCCCATGGCAGATTTGGGGCCTGGCAGCAGCACCTATGGGAGGCCTGTAATCTGCCAGCAACCTATGACAAAATGGAAAACCAGCAGGAGTGTGAGGAGACCTGAAAGTGGCACATGGCAGAGTGTGGCGATGGAGACAGCAGCAGCAATGGGAGGCGGTACAGGGACCCATGACACACTGTGGACCCAGCAGCAGCGTGACGAGGCGGTACGGGGGCCCATGGCAGATTTGGGGCCTGGCAGCACCTATGGGAGGCCTGTAATCTGCCAGCAACCTATACAACAAAATGGAAACCAGCAGGAGTGTGAGGAGACCTGAAAGTGGCACATGGCAGAGTGTGGCGATGGAGCGATGGAGCAGCAATGGGAGGCCGTACAGGGACCCATGACACACTGTGGACCCAGCAGCAGCGTGACGAGGCGGTACGGGGGCCCATGGCAGATTTGGGGCCTGGCAGCACCTATGGGAGGCCTGTAATCTGCCAGCAACCTATGACAAAATGGAAAAACCAGCAGGAGTGTGAGGAGACCTGAAAGTGGCACATGGCAGAGTGTGGCGATGGAGACAGCAGCAATGGGAGGCGGTACAGGGACCCATGACACACTGTGGACCCCAGCAGCAGCAGCGTGACGAGGCGGTACGGGGGCCCATGGCAGATTTGGGGCCTGGCAGCACCTATGGGAGGCCTGTAATCTGCCAGCAACCTATGACAAAATGGAAACCAGCAGGAGTGTGAGGAGACCTGAAAGTGGCACATGGCAGAGTGGTGAGTGATGGAGACAGCAGCAATGGGAGGCGGTACAGGGACCCATGACACACTGTGGACCCCAGCAGCAGCGTGACGAGGCGTGACCAGGCGGGTACGGGGGCCCATGGCAGATTTGGGGGGGCCTGGCAGCACCTATGGGAGGCCTGTAAATCTGCAGCAACCTATGACAAAATGGAAACCAGCAGGAGTGTGAGGAGACCTGAAAGTGGCACATGGCAGAGTGTGGCGATGGAGACAGCAGCAATGGGGGCGTACAGGGACCCATGACACACTGTGGACCCAGCAGCAGCGTGACGAGGCGGTACGGGGGGCCCATGGCAGATTTGGGGCCTGGCAGCACCTATGGGAGGCCTGTAATCTGCCAGCAACCTATGACAAAATGGAAAAACCAGCAGGAGTGTGAGGAGACCTGAAAGTGGCACATGGCAGAGTGTGGCGATGGAGACAGCAGCAATGGGAGGCCGGTACAGGGACCCATGACACACTGTGGACCCCAGCAGCAGCGTGACGGGGCGGTACGGGGGGCCCATGGCAGATTTGGGGCCTGGCAGCACCTATGGGAGGCCTGTAATCTGCCAGCAACCTATGACAAAATGGAAAACAGCAGGAGTGTGAGGAGACCTGAAAGTGGCACATGGCAGAGTGTGGCGATGGAGACAGACAGCAGCAATGGGAGGCGGTACAGGGACCCATGACACACTGTGGACCCAGCAGCAGCAGCGTGACGAGGCGGGTACGGGGGCCCATGGCAGATTTGGGGCCTGGCAGCACCTATGGGAGGCCTGTAATCTGCCAGCAACCTATGACAAAATGGAAACCAGCAGGAGTGTGAGGAGACCTGAAAGTGGCACATGGCAGAGTGTGTGGCGATGGAGACAGCAGCAATGGGGGAGGCCGTACAGGGACCCATGACACACACTGTGGACCCAGCAGCAGCGTGACGAGGCGGTACGGGGGCCCATGGCAGATTTGGGGCCTGGCAGCACCTATGGGAGGCCTGTAATCTGCCAGCAACCTATGACAAAATGGAAACCAGCAGGAGTGTGAGGAGACCTGAAAGTGGCACATGGCAGAGTGTGGCGATGGAGACAGCAGCAATGGGAGGCGGTACAGGGACCCATGACACACTGTGGACCAGCAGCAGCAGCGTGACGAGGCGGTACGGTACGGGGGCCCATGGCAGATTTGGGGCCTGGCAGCACCTATGGGAGGCCTGTGTAATCTGCCAGCAACCTATGACAAAATGGAAACCAGCAGGAGTGTGAGGAGACCTGAAAGTGGCACATGGCAGAGTGTGGCGATGGAGACAGCAGCAATGGGAGGCGGTACAGGGACCCATGACACACTGTGGACCCAGCAGCAGCGTGACGAGGCGGTACGGGGGGCCCATGGCAGATTTGGGGCCTGGCAGCACCTATGGGAGGCCTGTAATCTGCCAGCAACCTATGATGACAAATGGATGGAAACCAGCAGGAGTGTGAGGAGACCTGAAAGTGGCACATGGCAGAGTGTGGCGATGGGGACAGCAGCAATGGGAGGGCGTACAGGGACCCATGACACACTGTGGACCCAGCAGCAGCGTGTGTGACGAGGCGGTACGGGGGCCCATGGCAGATTTGGGGCCTGGCAGCACCTATGGGAGGCCTGTAATCTGCCAGCAACCTATGACAAAATGGAAACCAGCAGGAGTGTGAGGAGACCTGAAAGTGGCACATGGCAGAGTGTGGGCGATGGAGACAGCAGCAATGGGGAGGCCGTACAGGGACCCATGACACACACTGTGGACCCAGCAGCAGCGTGCAGCGGACGAGGCGGTACGGGGGGCCCATGGCAGATTTGGGGCCTGGCAGCACCTATGGGAGGCCTGTAATCTGCCAGCAACCTATGACAAAATGGAAACCAGCAGGAGTGTGTGTGAGGAGACCTGAAAGTGGCACATGGCAGAGTGATGGGCGATGGAGACAGCAGCAATGGGAGGGCCGTACAGGGACCCATGACACACTGTGGACCCCCAGCAGCAGAGCGTGACGAGGCGGTACGGGGGCCCATGGCAGATTTGGGGCCTGGCAGCACCTATGGGAGGCCTGTAATCTGCCAGCAACCTATGACAAAATGGAAACCAACAGGAGTGTGAGGAGAGACCTGAAAGTGGCACATGGCAGAGTGTGGCGATGGGAGACAGCAGGGGGGGAGGCCGTACAGGGACCCATGACACACTGTGGACCAGCAGCAGCAGCGTGACGAGGGCGGGTACGGGGGCCCATGGCAGATTTGGGGCCTGGCAGCACCTATGGGGGGCCTGTAATCTGCCAGCAACCTATGACAAAATGGAAACCAGCAGGAGTGTGAGGAGACCTGAAAGTGGCACATGGCAGAGTGTGGCGATGGAGACAGCAGCAATGGGAGGCGGGTACAGGGACCCATGACACACTGTGGACCCAGCAGCAGCGTGACGAGGGAGGCGGGCGGTACGGGGGCCCATGGCAGATTTGGGGCCTGGGCAGCACCTATGGGAGGCCTGTAATCTGCCAGCAACCTATGACAAAATGGAAACCAGCAGGAGTGTGAGGAGACCTGAAAGTGGCACATGGCAGAGTGTGGCGATGGAGACAGCAGCAATGGGAGGCCGTACAGGGACCCATGACACACTGTGGACCCAGCAGCAGCGTGACGAGGCGGGTACGGGGGCCCATGGCAGATTTGGGGCCTGGCAGCACCTATGGGAGGCCTGTAATCTGCCAGCAACCTATGACAAAATGGAAACCAGCAGGAGTGTGAGGAGACCTGAAAGTGGCACATGGCAGAGTGTGGCGATGGAGACAGCAGCAATGGGAGGCGGTACAGGGACCCATGACACACTGTGGACCCCAGCAGCAGCGTGACGAGGGTACGGGGGTACGGGGGCCCATGGCAGATTTGGGGCCTGGCAGCACCTATGGGGAGGCCTGTAATCTGCCAGCAACCTATGACAAAATGGAAACCAGCAGGAGTGTGAGGAGACCTGAAAGTGGCACATGGCAGAGTGTGGCGATGGAGACAGCAGCAATGGGAGGCGGTACAGGGACCCATGACACACTGTGGACCCAGCAGCAGCAGCGTGACGAGGCGGTACGGGGGGCCCATGGCAGATTGGGGCCTGGCAGCACCTATGGGAGGCCTGTAATCTGCCAGCAACCTATGACAAAATGGAAACCAGCAGGAGTGTGAGGAGACCTGAAAGTGGCACATGGCAGAGAGTGATGGCGATGGAGACAGCAGCAATGGGAGGCGGTACAGGGACCCATGACACACTGTGGACCCCCAGCAGCAGCGTGCATGTGACGAGGCGGTACGGGGGCCCATGGCAGATTTGGGGCCTGGCAGCACCTATGGGAGGCCTGTAATCTGCCAGCAACCTATGACAAAATGGAAACCAGCAGGAGTGTGTGAGGAGACCTGAAAGTGGCACATGGCAGAGTGTGGCGATGGAGACAGCAGCAATGGGAGGCGGTACAGGGACCCATGACACACTGTGGACAGCCAGCAGCAGCGTGTGACGAGGCGGTACGGGGGCCCATGGCAGATTTGGGGCCTGGCAGCACCTATGGGAGGCCTGTAATCTGCCAGCAACCTATGACAAAAAATGGAAACCAGCAGGAGTGTGAGGAGACCTGAAAGTGGCACATGGCAGTGTGGCGATGGAGACAGCAGCAATGGGAGGGCCGTACAGGGACCCATGACACACTGTGGACAGCAGCAGCAGCGCGTGACGAGGCGGTACGGGGGCCCATGGCAGATTTGGGGCCTGGCAGCACCTATGGGAGGCCTGTAATCTGCCAGCAACCTATGACAAAATGGGAAACCAGCAGGAGTGTGAGGAGACCTGAATGAAAGTGGCACATGGCAGAGTGTGGCGATGGAGACAGCAGCAATGGGAGGCGGTACAGGGACCCATGACACACTGTGGACCCAGCAGCAGCGTGACGAGGCAGAGTTTTTGAGGAGGGTACGGGGGCCCATGGCAGATTTGGGGCCTGGCAGCACCTAATGGGAGGAGGCCTGTAATCTGCCAGCAACCTATGACAAAATGGAAACCAGCAGGAGTGTGAGGAGACCTGAAAGTGGCACATGGCAGAGTGTGGCGCGAGAGACAGCAGCAATGGGAGGCGTACAGGGACCCATGACACACTGTGGACCCAGCAGCAGCGTGACGAGGGGAGGCGGCGGTACGGGGGCCCATGGCAGATTTGGGGCCTGGCAGCACCTATGGGAGGCCTGTAATCTGCCAGCAACCTATGACAAAATGGAAACCAGCAGGAGTGTGAGGAGACCTGAAAGTGGCACATGGCAGAGTGTGGCGATGGAGACAGCAGCAATGGGAGGCCGTACACAGGGACCCATGACACACTGTGGACCCAGCAGCAGCGTGACGAGGCGGGGTACGGGGGCCCATGGCAGATTTTGGGGCCTGGCAGCACCTATGGGAGGCCTGTAATCTGCCAGCAACCTATGACAAAATGGAAACCAGCAGGAGTGTGAGGAGACCTGAAAGTGGCACATGGCAGAGTGTGGCGATGGAGACAGCAGCAATGGGAGGACAGGGGTACAGGGACCCCATGACACACTGTGGACCCAGCAGCAGCAGCGTGACGAGGCGGTACGGGGGCCCATGGCAGATTTGGGGCCTGGCAGCACCTATGGGAGGCCTGTAATCTGCCAGCAACCTATGACAAAATGAAAAAACCAGCAGGAGTGTGAGGAGACCTGAAAGTGGCACATGGCAGAGTGTGGCGATGGAGACAGCAGCAATGGGAGGCCGTACAGGGACCCATGACACACACTGTGGACAGCAGCAGCAGCGTGACGAGGCGGTACGGGGGCCCATGGCAGATTTGGGGGCCTGGGGGCAGCAGCACCTATGGGAGGCCTGTAATCTGCCAGCAACCTATGACAAAATGGAAACCAGCAGGAGTGTGAGGAGACCTGAAAGTGGCACATGGCAGAGTGTGGCGATGGAGACAGCAGCAATGGGAGGGCGGTACAGGGACCCATGACACACTGTGGACCCAGCAGCAGCGTGACGAGGGCGGGTACGGGGGCCCATGGCAGATTTGGGGCCTGGCAGCACCTATGGGAGGCCTGTAATCTGCCAGCAACCTATGACAAAATGGAAACCAGCAGGAGTGTGAGGAGACCTGAAAGTGGCATGGCAGAGTGTGGCGATGGGACACAGCAATGGGAGGCGGTACAGGGACCCATGACACACTGTGGACCAGCAGCAGCAGCGTGACGAGGCGGTACGGGGGCCCATGGCAGATTTGGGGCCTGGCAGCACCTATGGGAGGCCTGTAATCTGCCAGCAACCTATGACAAAATGGAAACCAGCAGGAGTGTGAGGAGACCTGAAAGTGGCACATGGCAGAGTGTGGCGATGGAGACAGCAGCAATGGGAGGCCGTACAGGGACCCATGACACACTGTGGACCCTGGCAGCAGCAGCGTGACGAGGCGGCGGTACGGGGGCCCATGGCAGATTTGGGGCCTGGCAGCACCTATGGGAGGCCTGTAATCTGCCAGCAACCTATGACAAAATGGAAACCAGCAGGAGTGTGTGAGGAGACCTGAAAGTGGCACATGGCAGAGTGTGGCGATGGAGACAGCAGCAATGGGAGGCCGTACAGGGACCCATGACACACTGTGGACCCAGCAGCAGCGTGACGAGGCGGTACGGGGGCCCATGGCAGATTTGGGGCCTGGCAGCACCTATGGGGAGGCCTGTAATCTGCCAGCAACCTATGACAAAATGGAAACCAGCAGGAGTGTGAGGAGACCTGAAAGTGGCACATGGCAGAGTGTGGCGATGGGAGACAGCAGCAATGGGAGGCCGTACAGGGACCCATGACACACTGTGGACCCAGCAGCAGCAGCATGACGAGGCGGTACGGGGGCCCATGGCAGATTTGGGGCCTGGCAGCAGCACCTATGGGAGGCCTGTAATCTGCCAGCAACCTATGACAAAATGGAAAACCAGCAGGAGTGTGAGGAGACCTGAAAGTGGCACATGGCAGAGTGTGGCGATGGAGACAGCAGCAATGGGAGGGGCCGTACAGGGACCCATGACACACTGTGGAGCAGCCCAGCAGCAGCATGGAGGCGGTACGGGGGCCCATGGCAG